AAGGGAGGTGCTGGAATTCTAGGTGCTGCTTTCAATAGAATTGTTTGGAAGTGATGAACCTCAGATGTTGTTGTAGTGTCAGCACGTCTCTTTGTATGAATATTGTGATAATCATCCAAATTAAGAATCATTAAATCATCCATCTACTCATTGACATTATTATTGTTATGGTTAATACAATTAATAACAATTCAGATAAATATATAGTATATATTAATGCTTACGTGTTCTGAAACAAATTCTCCAACTGTCTCAGAGTGAATTAATTCATTCCTTTTTTTATGTTTCATAACTGTTTCACGCCTAATACTTATTCCAGCTCCTGCAAATGTTTCAATTGCTGATGCTGATGCACCAGCATCATCCAACATGTAGCCTATTTCTGCTTTGATGCCATTAATAAACTTATTATTCAAGCCTGCTAAAAAATAACAGAACATCACCAAGCGCTTTTTATTTTTTTCATTGGTCATGTGACTCTTAGATGTTGGATTAGTTCCAGTATAAAGAGAGTCAAAAAAGCCTTTTAGCGATGGTTCTGTATCTTCCAGCATAGTTTTGAATTCATCAGGATCAAAAATAGGGTCTTGATTCTCCTTTCTTTGTTTAGTATATAAAACACCAGTCATTAAACAAATCTTTTTATCTAATGGAATTAAATCTGAGAAACTAAATTGTTAACACTTATACATAAATAATAAATAACCTAAATATAAAAAAATTTTTTATCAAAATATATACCTAATTTTGCTTCTTTTAATTCTTCACAAATTTCCTGGTAAGCTTTTTCTAATTCTTTATACTGGTCTTCAGTGTATAAAATATCACTTCGTAATGCATATGTATTGTTGTGAAATTTTATCAACTCATCTTCTTGTGTTACTTTTGGTCTTGATGCTGGATGTGGATAGTTTTGAAATGTTTCATCATGATCACTAGAATACTTACAATGATTGCAAAAAAGTGTGTCAGATGGAAGTTTAAAAAATTCAATTAAACGAATAGGTGCCTTATCAAGTTTTGTATCTTTTGATGAAGACACTGAATACTCCTTGTGTTTTGGATGTCCACATTCTTGTTTTTTAGCAATCTTCTGTCTTTTTCCTGTGTTAACAATTAATTTGTTGTGATGTTTTCTACATAAAGCTTTTCCTACCAAATCTAGATGTATGTTCTCCTCAGGTATCTTCGCATTTTCTGTAACGAAAGAAGCACCATTTCGTTCATAGTCACACTCAATGTTGTATTTACCTTCAAGGTCACAGTATTGTGGTTTGTTGGAACGTTTTGTTGAGCTAATAAAATAAAAATATATACACGTGCATAACAAAAAATATACGCGTGCATAAAAAAAATAATAAATTATAAATAATTCAAAAAAGTTTAGCCGTTTTTCTGTGAATGCTTGAAAGTTCTTCTTATCTAACTTTTGAATTACCTTGTCATTTTTTGAATTACTTTGAAAATATATTAAGTAGAACCTAAGCTTTTTATTGGTATGTGTCTTATAAGCCAGAAATAATTTTTGGTGGCCAGAAAAGGGTTTAAAGTCAGATGACGAAAAATTTAATAATGAACTCTATTGATTATGTACCTTGTCGATCAACCAATCAAATTTAAGCCCGCTATGCTGGATTGGGTTGCATAGCTTATCATATAAATTGTTAAACGATTTTTGAAAAATTTTTCGTATTTCCAGAAGTATTTCTATTTCATCAACAAAGGGTAGCATATCTTTTATTGATGCTGGAACTGAAATTTGACCAATACAAACCATAAAATATGTTCCTTTGGTAAGATTTAACATAAAAAAATCGATTGTATGATCTATATAATGAAATGTCAAAAGTGATTAATATTAAAAGGAATTTCGTGAATAAAAAATACATTATGCTGATTCACTTACCAACACATTGAAAACCTATTACACTAATATCGGCACCTTTATCTATTGCAAAATCCAAGCAGTCTTTCATGAGCACACCAATTCGAATAAGATCGTTGCAGTTTTTGTACACATTGTTTCTTTGTGATGGCGGACTAACCTCGCCCACGAATATAACAGCTTCTGTCTGAAGTTGATGGATAATTGAGACAACAAAATCTGGTTGCTTGCTTCGACCTTTGAATTTTCTTAATTTGCTTTCATTTAGAGCCGTATTAGGCCATTGGACAATATGTTTATCTGGATGATGGAAGGTTCCTTTCATTATGTAATCTAAATAATTTGTGATTAGTGTAATTTCGCTAGATTCACTCTTGATCTTTTCACTAGGTAATGTTTCCAGACCTTTCAAAATCACATAACCAAAGTTCTCCCTCAAAATTTGATTATTTGCAAGTTCTTTAAGGAGCCGATCCATGGTACAATCACGAGACTTTTTCGCTTTCCTGATCGCCTCTCTAAATTTTGATTCACATTCTGAATTTAGTGCTACATTTTGGTCTGGGATGTTTTTTTGATATATTACATTAAGCAATGGAGAGCCAAATATAGTAATCATTGTTTTTGAATGCGAACCAGGAATTAATAAAAAAATTGATGATAAAGACAAGATTTCATGGACATTAGATTCTACAGTTAAACCGCCATCATTTGAAATTTTTACCGATTCATTTTGATATTGTCTAAATAACTGTGACACATTGGTATTTCCTATTTTATAATCATCCGACAATTCCTCTTTCTTGAAGCAAAGATTACCAATATCGTCAATTATTACATCGTCCTCATTTTCTTCAATAAATGGATTATCTGTCAGAGAGCATCTTAATGTATAATTACATGGTGTGGGCGTAAGACAATCATCTTTGTTTTGTCTTTTGAACGTCCTTTCATCATCATAATCAATGTCGGATCGTCTTTTTAAGAAATAGTTAATTTGACTGGATTTGTCGAATTTGTCCTGTTGACATAAATGGTATTAGTATCAGATTAGGAAAAGAATGAGTTCAAGAATTGATCTGCCATATTATCACATTAACCAACCTCAAATTCTGACAATTCGGATGTTAATTTATCACTTGATATATTATGCTCATTTATAACATTAGAATAAATGTGGCATCTATGTTGTGTCTAAATAATTCGCAAATAAGAAAAATAGTAATTATAACTTACAAGTATGAATATGTGTACTAACCTTTTTTTCTTCCAAAATCAATTGATTAGCGCGAGTTATGTCTCGTTCATTTTTTATCTGAATAGAGATCCAATACTGTATGACACTGGTAGAGTTCATGTGTTCATCAATTGTATTTAAAATGCTCGTTGCCCTTTCCGAGTATTCATCATTCACCAAAACAAGTGTTTTTAATGCATCCCGCAAATTATCTTCTGCTTGATCTTTTTGGGAAAATTGATATCCTATTTTTCTAAAAAATTTGTTGGCTGTAAAACCTTGTAAAATGACTTCTCTTAGTGCATCAACGTGATTCTGCACATTAAAATGGAATAATAATTAATACTGTAAACTAATTCAGTAATGATATAAATAAAAATAATAAATACCATTTTCATCTAAAAAATGAGAAGGGGTCATTATTGCAAGAAAGATTAGTAAGAGGTTCTCATAATTATTATTAAATAACATTTACTTCTAAACCAAGCTTTCTCCAGTTATGGTAAGATTGATACATCAACCCCAAATGGTCATAATGTATCCATTCCCCCAACAACACCAGAGCGAGGAGACCTCCAAAGGGATTACAAGCCAGCGAAATGCTGACTAAAAAAGCCAGAACCTTATCATATCTTTTGAAGGCTGTGCGACATTCCCCCAACAACACCAAAGCAAGGAGACCTCCAGTGGGATTACAAGCCAGCAAAATGTCGGGTTTGCAAATATACACAACGCAAAATTAAATTTAACTTAACTGAGATTTGAAAGAAAGATAAAAAAATTTTTTATAATTTTTATCATGGATTGTCATACGATATCATCTATGTATGACTTACACATTTTTTCTGCACAGCCCCAATTAATGTCACGCGACATACTAATTATCGTTATCTCAATTCCACCTGTGAAATTAAACATACTAATACTTTGATATTGCAGTATCCCTCCTTATGCTGGCCTACGATATTTCCCTTATGATTCTGCTTGCAAGACATGCATGAAGAAATAGATGTTGCAATGGAATATATTGTCAGAACAGATATTATAACTAAAAGATATTCCAGGATACTTCATTTCGGCGTGATCCTCAACGGGTAATAGTAATGGAATGGATGATTGAGAAGTCTCGCATAGCAAGGACACTGATGCATCTACTGTATTTCTAAATCAATGAGAGATTTTGGTATAGATGTGTCGGATTGCGCTGAAACACTAATAGCATTTTTGTCCTGCTTGATTTCCTCGACATCATAATTCAGCCTTGCAATGAGCTCTGCTTTTTCTTTATAGCTCTGCTCTAGTTTTGCGAATCTGACTTTAAGCGAGGTATTCTCTTCCATAGCCTGTTTTAACTTCACATTCTCAGCCTTATCCTCAGTATTCTCAGCCTCGAGTTGGTCAATTCGTTGTCTCAATAAATCTAATTCGGATTGCATAATTTTTTTTATATAAGGCATAGATTTAGGTAGGTGAGTGGAACAAAGAGGTATAAATTACACAGAAAATTCAAAACTTTAAATAAAAATTTGTGTGATGGAATTATGGCGCAAAAGTGATATGTAAAAGTATGATCCAATTTTTTGATAGTAAAACAGCAAAGCATAGACCAATTTTTTGACATGAAGTAGTATTACCCAAAAGCATCAACTATGCGAGAAAGCTTTCTAGAGATCCAAAACATATCGTACTTGCGGTACTACCCCAAGGTAAAATTAATATAGATATATTTTATAAAAATTATGCTTTGGGGTAGTACCAAATAAAGGAT